CTGATTCTGTAAATTGGTTGGGTGTTTTTCCTGGTGTTCTTACCTGGGCTCATTCCTATGGTCGTACCCAAACAACAGCTGGTATGGCTTATCAAGATGACCTTGCTCCCGTGCCTGGCAGTTGGTGCTACCTGTTGGCTGAAATGCCTTGGTTCTCTTTCATATGGTGTCTCATCCTCCAAATAGGCTAGACTGGCTTCTTTACACTATGGCAGAGTTAGAGCAGTATTCCAAGAGAACAAAAACAGATGTCCCCAAGTTCTCTTTTTGTCAATTCAGCCACATTCTAATGGTTAAAGCAACTCACAGAGCTAGCCCAAATTCAAAGGAATGGGAAATAAGTTTCAGCTGTTGACGGAAGACTAGGTATGCGGCACAGGAAGAATTCTTGTGGCTATCATTGCAAACAGTTTAGCACATTTCCTTAAGGGAAAGTATACTGGTTAGACACAATCCCAGACTAAGCAGACTACTCATCTTATTGGGGGTCAGGATTTGTTCTGATTACACAGGTGTGAGCAAGGGTTGCTGTTGGCTTTAGAAGTGTAGCTATTCTGCAAGCCTACTGTTGATTGGCTGGCTTTCAGATGCATGGTCACTGGAAAGTCTGCCATGGTGGCTGTCTTGATTACTAGCTTTCAGGAGTTGTCAATATTTAGACTGAGATGAATTGTCTTTCATTGATGAATAATGTAGGATTATCAGTCTTTATTAGGAGTTTGTGGACTTTCTAAACAGTCTGTTTTTCATGCAGGTATATAAGAGGAAAACTGAAGCTGCCAAGAAAGAGTATCTGAAGGCTCTGGCTGCTTATAAAGACAATCAAGAGTGTCAGGTAAGAAGATTGGGGTAGGTGGATATTTAAACCAATAAAAACATTTTTAAAGCTGTATATTAGCAATTAGAAGTAAATACCACCAAAAACCTGTGGAACCTATTAATAGTATATAGTTATTAAAAGCTCAAAAGTATGTAACAGGTTTCCCATTTGTTTCCATCGTAAACCTTGCCAAACAGTCTGAGTTTATTTTCATTGTTTACTTTAGCCAGGCAGACACGTGGCTGCTCTTTTTTCTTTCTTTCTCTTCGTACCCCCCGCCCCCCCAGTCTGTGATGTACCTTTTCTTGGGAGGTGATTAGAGTGAGTATGTCCTGGGGGAGAGAATAAATCTCCTGATTTTTTTTTTTTTTTTGGTCTTCTTTTAGGCTACTGTGGAAACAGTGGAATTGGATCCAGCGCCCCCATCACAGACTCCTTCTCCACCTCCTGTGACTACTGCTGAGCCAGCCTCTCCAGCAGCAGCCTCAACAGAGCCCCCTGCCCTGTCTCCTTCCATTGTTGTTAATTCCACTCTTTCATCCTATGTAGCAAACCAGGCATCTTCTGGGGCTGGGGGTCAGCCCAATATTACCAAGTTGATTATTACCAAACAGATGTTGCCCTCTTCTATTACTATGTCTCAAGGAGGGATGGTTACCGTTATCCCAGCCACAGTGGTGACCTCCCGGGGGATCCAACTAGGCCAAACCAGTACAGCTACTATCCAGCCTAGTCAGCAAGCCCAGATCGTCACTAGGTCAGTGCTGCAGGCAGCAGCTGCAGCAGCAGCTTCCATGCAACTGCCTCCGCCCCGACTACAACCCCCTCCGTTGCAGCAAATGCCTCAGCCCCCGGCTCAGCAGCAAGTCGCCATTCTGCAGCAGCCTCCCCCGCTGCAGGCCATGCAGCAGCCCCCACCTCAGAAATTTCGAATCAATCTACAGCAGCAGCCGCCGCCACTGCAGGTCAAGCTTGTGCCTCCGCCCACTCTAAAAATGCAGACTACCTTGGTTCCACCACCTGTAGAAAGGAGTCCGGAGCGGCCTGTGAACAGCAGCCCTGAGACCCACACAGTGGAGGAAACCTCTCCTGAGACAATCTGTGAGATGATCACAGATGTAGTTCCTGAGGTGAGCCTCTGTTTTCAAGTATTTCCTCTAGACCAGTGAAAATGTGTAAGCATTTTTGGTTGATCTAATAAAAGCAGGGGTTGCTACTAGCATTTAATGCCTGGCACAACTAGGCGTATGAAATATCCTGTCAGTTCCCTGCAAGATACTCTGTAGTGTTCTTGGTGAGAAACATTAAGAGGGCCTCCTATCCTAGACTACTCCTTAACTAAGCAGAAGTAATACGGTAGTCAACTAAAGATATATCCTAAGCATAGAGTTATTTTTCAGGTGTCTTACCCAAGGATCCAAAGCTTTGGAGATAAATCCTTCCATTTCTCCCAAACCTTGACTGCTTGGCTTGATGTTTTTAAGGGGATGGGTAGGGAATACAGGTAGAAAAATTCAACTGGTTAGTATCATTGAGTCTTTTCAGAAACAAACAGATGCCAATTTACCCTAGTTTTAATTTGTACCTGACCAGTAGTCATTTTGAAATACGGGTCTGTTTGTGACTATAGTCCCACAATGAATGAAGCAGTCATTTTAAAGAAAAATACCACCCACCCCACCCCTTCAAAACCAGGAAACTATTAATCTCTAAGTTTTTTTCCTTTTTGCTAATGGCACCATGTTTTATCTTCTTAGTCTCTGATCTTAGTTGAGGTGACCCAACCTCTATTCACATCCTATTGATTTGATATTTTCAGAGGAATATTATTCAACTGTAGAATAAGGTCAGTGATAGGTAAAATTAAGATTAAACACCAGCAGTATGGCAGCATTCCCCTTATAGGAAGCATCTTCATGTCAATCTGCATGGCAAAATTCTAAAGCTGGATATAGAGAAGACCAAGAACTCACCTTCTTTTGGAACTGTACCCCCATCTATGAGGGACTGTAACATCTGTTGCTCCATTGGATCCTAGAGTTAATTTGACTAGCTGGCTAGCTAGGTAAGTAGCAATCCAATCCATCTTTGGTGCTCTCTCCCTCTCACAGGTTGAGTCTCCTTCTCAAATGGATGTTGAATTGGTGAGTGGGTCTCCTATGACGCTCTCACCCCAGCCTCGATGTGTGAGGTCCGGCTGTGAGAACCCTCCCGTTGTGAGTAAGGACTGGGACAATGAGTACTGCAGCAATGAGTGCGTGGTGAAGCACTGCAGGTGAGCTTACAGTTCCCCTTCTTATAATTCAAGTATGACTAAATAAACTGTGTTGGAAAACACAGTAACCCTGAGCATATAATCAGTACCACCTTACCTTTGGTAGAGTAGGTTGCTATATACATCTGATTGTAGAAGCTACTAGAGAAGTTCCCCTGCTTAAAAAAAGCTTACATTTGCCATGTAGATAAAGATGACATAATGAGCAGTTCACACTTTTCAGTTACATTACCTCTGTGTGTGCTCTTTAAAAATATGACACATCAAGCTGGTGGTGACTGAATCTTAGTTTAGCTTATCTCCTTAGTGCAAATCAGACCTCTTAGGGAATTAGAATTTGAGAAGGAATGGATAGGCGGTAAGTAGCACAATAAGGTGCTAAGTATAGGGGGAAAGGGAAGAAGTTCTGAAGATTTTGCCCATTTCCCCAATTTTCCTGAGATTGACCTACATCCATGAAACAAGGCATTGGTATTTCCTATCTCAAATCCTCCAAAGTAAATTAGGATTGCCTATACTTCTGACTCTTAGGCCCACTGCCCTTATATTCCTATTGGGTGATATATGTCAACCTATTTGTTTAAGACAACGTTTAAAAAGAATATATCTAGGCTGTAATTCTGAGTTTGTGTGTATCTTTTTCTTTCTTAGGGATGTCTTCTTGGCCTGGGTAGCCTCTAGAAACTCAAACACAGTAGTGTTTGTGAAGTAGTCCTGTTCTCCAAGCCAGTGAAGACTTACCTGCTGGGAACATGTCCACCGAGCCTGTTTTTAAAAAGACAAGCTGGGCTTCTGGTAGTGCCTGATCTCAACCCATGATGGTCCTTTATGTCCTTCACGTTTCTCCCCTTTTGTCTCTCTTCTACAGGGGCCAGGCTATGGAGCAGGGCCATTGAGTTTGCTGGAATTGCTTTTTACTTTCACGTACAAGCAGAGATATCAGTGATAATAACAGGGGAAAGGGTGAAGGGCATATGAACAAGCAGAACATAGGGGTGGTGGCTAGGGGTGGGGAATTGTTTGAGGAAAACTTGTTGGTATAATTGTCATAGGACTTGCCTAAAATACTATTAAAATGATAGGATAATACTCAGCTTTGAGCCTAGGAGAAAACATCACTGTGTGCATCCATTTTAAAGGGGCTAAAAAAAAGGCTGCATTAAAGGTTACTTCTTAAACAGGGAACTATTACTATCACATCTGCACATTAATTACTTTGAGAACAAAGGTTTTCAACATAGTAAGCAGACTGGGCTGTAGAGAAAATAACATCACCTAGGAGCGTCTTTTATTTATTTCTCTGCAATATTTCTGTAGTCAACGCTCCTCCTTATCTCAGTTATCACAGTTTTTGAGTGCAAAAGGCAGAACTCTACATCCTTAATATAAGACTTTCACCAAAGTCTACAGAAGTTGCATTCACTTGTGTTTGATGAAGTATCTTTTAAAAGATAGGCCAGAGGTGTTTTCACTTATATAATATATAGGCTAATTCTCGGCATACTCTAGGCACTTATTTAAATTTAATGTAAGATGTGCTTATTTCACTTTTCTTGGAAATAAACGAATAATAGACTAGCAAAGCCACATAGTTGTAACAGAATAAGCAACATTTCGAGCATGATAGCCCTAGTGATGATAATCTTAAATGAAACTCAAATCTTACCTTGAGAAATGTTGTCCCAGAGAACACCCTTCTTGATTACCATGTCTACTAGCACTAATCGCTAATCACTTTGATCCTATACAGTATAATCAATATTTTAATGTTTTTCAAGCATTCATTTAGTTTGAACCCTTATAGCAACCCCATGAGGTAGGTAATATTCCCAGTCTACATATAAGTAATCATACTGAGAGATGAGTTACACAAGATCACACACTGTTAAGTGGCAGAGCCAGAACTTGACCTCGAAATCCCAACTACAATACAAAGTTTTATTTAAATAAGGAAAAAAAACTATTGTACAAATATTACTCTTCAGGTGCAGCCTGCAGAGCCATGGCTATGGATGCTTAGGTTTAGAAGTACTTCTATAGATTCTTAGGTTTAGAGATGATACCATCTGGATACCTTTGCTTGAACCGGGCAACCACATCTGGGTCTAGTAGGTGGATCCCATCCAGTTGATTTCCAAGGGTGATCCTGAAGCATGGGGAAAGATGGGGCAAACCAAAAATCCTGGAATTTAAAGGCTTAATACTGTTAAAAGATACGTACTTTTTATTAAGACTGCCTATCATCTCATTGAATATTCGTGCCAATTCTTTTAAAAAGATATTATTATTAGTATAGTATATGGTAGTATGGCTGGTTAGAAATTGGGCACAGATTCTGGTGTTAAAAAAGGCTGGATCTGTACTAATTAAGGGTTAATAACTTATGTTTAACCAGGCCTACTTCACAAAGTTGCTGCTGCCAGTGAGTATCCTTTGGATTAGTGAAATGCTAGCAGCACGTCTTTTAAAGCTCTACTAACAGAATGAAAGATTAAAATTGTTGACAGATTACACAGATTCTCAGTAACCACCAGGGGGCAGATTCAGTACATTCCATAGAATAACAAAGATCTTTAGGTTGTAACAGTGGAGACCTTAAGAGCAGTGGTTTAAATCTTAAAACCTGCTGGGTTCCCAATGAATGTTGGTTGCTTAAGAATCCTCTGAAGCCCATTTATAGACTAGTGGAATGTGAGGTGAAGCTCTACTAACTTCTGTCCTTGACCATAAACAGTTTTGCCCTTGGGGGCTAGCATGTTCTCTGGTCACCTTACCAGTTCGGTTGCACATTGTGTGGTCGTCCAAATAACTCAATCTTGCGAGTGCCAGGGGACAGTCTTTCAATCATGCCATAGATTTCATCTGGTTTATGACTAGTGGAACGAACCTAGGAAATAAAAGCTCTAGCTACTTTTACGTTACCCAAGATTGAAATTCTAGCCCTTTCCCTTTATGTTTATGATCCCAATGAGAAAACCTGGGATAAGAATATACCTGACTAAAATAACTGATAGCAGTTTTAAAATGTGCATCTTTGGATGCCTGGGCAAAGTACATACCTCAGCTACGATCACATCACAATCCAGACCCTGGTTGAAGCCTTGGGGATTTCCTTTGACACCAACCTGCTCACCAGAGAACAGATTACCTTATGAAACCCCAGCATTCGAACTGTTTCTCAATAAGCAATCAAACAATTCCTATTTTTTGCTCCACTTATTGAATTGGGCCCCACTGCTGCTCACCAAGCAGTGTTCCTTCCCATGGTTCAACCAATGACCTGTGCGGCCTGTCCGAATGATGCGTTGCAGTTGATTTGTCTTCACCCAGATAATTTCATCTACCCGTTCGTAACTGTGGGGTATAAGAAAAAGAATTAGAGCTTTAATCAGGCTTTCACAGTTTAGGGGTGGTGCCATCTATTCTACAGAGGCAAGGAATCACAGAATACTCTGAAAGAAAGGAACACATATCAACTACAGTAATTATGTACTTAATTCCCTCAAAAGAAAGCAACACAATGATCGTTACTTACCCCCAGAGGTTCAGACATTCTCTGCCCAACTCCATGGCCCTAGAAAGAAATAAAGGTTAAACAGCTATTTCCATGCCCATATTTCTTCTCCCTTCAAGATACATGTGTTGTCTTCAGTAGACATTCAGTGAACATGCGAGACACCATTAGGGCAACAGAATGGATCTAAGAATGAAAAAATAAAACTTAGTATCTATTCTCAATGACCTTACCTTTCACAAGCAACAAATGTAGAGTTACATAGAATTCATGTGTCATTTGTGTTATAAACAGGCATTAGATCTCAGTAGGTAAAAAAGGCTGACTCACTTACATATTTAATAGCAGGGCTAGGAAAACCCAGGATTTTATCCCCACCCAGTACTCACTCTATACTATATCTGCCCATACCTACATATCTTTGAACTGCATTACCTGCCTGTGACCCAGAGGAAGAGAAAGCCATCATCCTGCAGTACTGGTATGTTGAGCCTGCGCATCTCATCATCTGTCAGGGTCCCATAGGGCAGCTCCATGTGAATATCCCAGGGTGGGTCAGCCATCACAACTGCAAACTTGCCCAAGATACTGACGTCCAGGTAGCGGATATCACAACAGATCCACTGCATGAGGTGGTATTTGGTCATCTTCCCTTCCTTTACTCTTAGATTCATGGCCCCAGTCCCTCTTTTTACATTTGATTTTCCTATTCCCTTAGATGCATATCTATCCCACTCCATTCCCAATCAGCAGGGCGGACTGGTGATTTATGCCCTGCTTTCCTACATGTATGGCTACCCTACTAAGATAAAGGTCCTTAAGTTGAGGTAAGTTTTCTGAGCAGATAGGTACCTGAGGTGGGAAGAGTCGATCTGCATTGGAGTCACCTCCAACGCTCTGTGTAAGGGCAAGCTCCTGGCTTGGTGTATGGTCTTTGCTTCCAGGAGCTTCAGAATCCATGCAAGCATCAATTTCATAGTGAACATATTTGCAGGTATCCATGTGGAAACATGTGTTAAGGAAAGAGCAGTCACCTAATGACTCATCAGTGTGTTTATTGATGATCCGTCTGGGGAAATAAAAAGGGAGAATTGGAATCAAGATGGTGTTCCAGTTAGATGCCACAGTTCGAGGTCCAAATTGTTGCAAAATTTCTAGTCTTTCACTATCATTAGAGCTGCCTCCACAAGTTTTCAAATAAGGAACGCAGGTGACATTTAAATCTGTAATTTACACTAAAGAAGAGTTTTAATTCCTCTCTGAGCAAAGAGTTAACTTCCTTATGACAGGAAGGAAGGGCTTGCTAGTCAGAGCAGAATAAAGCACCTACCTAACAGCTCAGGTTCCTGTTTCTCCTAAGATCATCCTTCTTCCAGAGAACTTTAACTTTCACTGGGGCTCGGAGACAGAGATGTCTTGCTATTGCAAGAACAGAGGGGCATTTTTTTCTTTAAATCTCACATCCTTTTGGGAGTGCAGCCTGTATTCCCTCCCATAGAACACTACTTCTGAAAGTTTACCTTCAGAGTCTGGAAGTCTTAGACAAATCATATTAAAACCACTTAATAACAGGATTAAAGACAGAAACCCAATAACCGGAAGAAATGTGCTTAAAAAGAATGACTGCTTCTAGGAGACCCATCCAACCCCCTCCCTCCCAAAAGACCTGAAGTGCAGCTTGCGACAGGGCCGGTCAGCATCACTGGCTTTCATGCACTCCTCCTTGGTTCCATAGTCACAGAACTCTTGCACTTGAGCCCGACCTCGTGAGCGAAACTTTTCAACTATGGATTGTTCCTTGGCTGTTGTAGTATTCAGTAGCTCTAGGATCTCCTGACTAACCTGTGACAGAAGAAACCTTGGTCTTAAAAGGGTTTGTAGATAAAATTAGCCCTTAAACCACCTCTGCAAATTCTACTTGACATCAATGTCCTATGAGGGGTCAATAGACTAAGTTAATATGGGAAAATTGGAGCCCTAGGAGAAGAGATGTGTCATGGGTTTAGTCCTTTCTCACAAATGTGCATTTGGGATGAAATTAAAATATAAAAAGACTGGTTCCTACTGCTAAGCATTAAGCTAAACTCCCCTCCCCAGGAAAGCATTCCTTCCAACCAAAACCACTTACATTTATTAGGTACTGAACCAAGGCACAGTGCTAAGCACTTTAGTGTTTAGCTCAGAGCCTATGCAACAATTCTATAAGCAGGGGATGGGGGAGCGGTAGGAAATGGATAACTATTGTGGGTCCAATATTTAATAGACTCAGAAACCACTACAATGCCATTCCACACTGTACAATCAATTTCCATAATTATTGGTCCATATGGCTATCTTCCAGTATTCGTCCCCTCTATTACTATATTTGGATTCCTCTTCTCAAGATCTGATGATCCTTCCAAACAGATACAATGAAAAAGATTCTCTAAATCCGAGTTTCCCAACATTGGTGCATTGTTTACATTCTGGGCCAAATAACTCTTTGTCGTATGGAGGTTGCCCTGCTAAGACTGTAGGATGCTTTGCAGCATCCCTGGCCTCTACCCACTAGATGCCTGTAGTGCTCCCGTGCTGTGAAAAACCAAACATGTCTCCAGACATTGCCAAATGTCCTCTGGGGGTTGCGAGGAGGGTAAAATCATCCTCAGTTGAGAACCACTGCTCTAAACCCTGAATTCTAAGAACTGCTCTTCGCCCTAGGGGTAAATTCCTCTCAACCAAAGCTAAAATTCAAAGTACATGTGTGAAAGCATTTCCATCTACCCCTACCTTCTTGCTCTGTTGTTCCTTAGTAGATTGTTGGTTAAGAAGGCTCTCTATCTCCAGATCAACATCTGAGGCAGCATGTTTCCTTGATTTCTTGGTTGGCTCCTTGGCTACTTCTGACGCTGAAGAGGCCAAACCAGAGGCCAAAGAGCTAGCAAAGGCAGCTACTGTGGTCGAGTCCTGTTCTGCACGCCGCTTCTGCCCTGTGATAGTCCCTGCTACCTCCCCAGAGCCCTTTTTTTCTGCCACAGCCCCCATCATGGCAGAGAGCTTGGAATGATCAGCGTAGGTCACAAGAGTGGGATGTGCATCATCTTGTAGGAGACCTCGCTTTACTTCAATCAACTCCTGAGCTGCAAACTTCTGTAGGAGGCTTTCCACCCCATCTTGAGTGGCAGGGGCATCTGGCTAAGGAAGGAGGGTGGGGGGAAAGCATTAAGACACTGACCATGAACTGCAGAAAAACAGTGGTAGTTCCCAACCTTGTCTTATCTGGTCATTACCGTGGAGATGGCAAGACGGATGGACACAGCATCAGTGGGCAAAGTTAGCGCCAGATCAGAGAGGTGGTGTAGCAACTTCTTCTCTAATTCAGGGTCTGTAGCTAGTTCAGGAACTGCTGAAGCCGTGCTGGGCTTAGGGCCACCAGAAGTGGGTGCAGTAGGCACTGGGCTGTCACTACGGAAGGTTGGAGACAGTGCTGCCTCTGGATTCCGAAGATCTAGGAGTGAAGAGAAATGAAAATGAAAAAGGGCAACCATTGTCAATGTATACATTCCTCAGGAGTCAAGTTCTCCAGCATTCACAACACACAGTTCTTTCATTTCATGAAGAAAATTCTCTGACCAGATTTAGCACTAGATACCCTTTATTAAATCACACTCAAGCATTCACTGCTTTGCCAAGATAATCCTGGATTTTCTGGGAACCACTTACCTTTTCTCTGTTGGGTGAGAGGTCTTTTCCTAATTCCTTTCCTTGCTGTGCTTCAAGGAAATAAATTAGCAGCTTGGTAGATTTAAATGTCCATACCACCTCCCTTTAGTCACTCTAAAATGACAGCTGATATAATCAACCTGTAAGCCAGGAATATTTTCAACAACCTACACTGTGATCAAATCTTTTTGAAGAATTGAATTTGAATGAATTAAGGCCACTGGACATCAGAGGGTATAAAAATGACAGGAGGGATTCCCTGGTGGTGCAGTGGTTGAGAGTCCACCTGCCGATGCAGGGGACACGGGTTCGTACCCCGATCCAGGCTAGGCCCATAAGCCATGGCGGCTGAGCCTGCGCGTCCAGAGCCTGTGCTCCGCAACGGGAGAGGCCACAACAGTGAGAGGCCCGCGTACCAAAAAAAAAAAAAAAAAAAAAATGACAGCGTTGGGGGTTAGAATGATGCGACCTTTAAAGTGAAACACAAAAATTTTATAAAACTGCTGAAGCCCTGGTCACCAATGATATTTCTTGACTATATTTTTATCACTTACTCTAGTACTTCACAAGCTGGGTAGCCAACATAACCTTGAGAAGAGTTAAGAAACTCAAATCGGGACAAAATATTACCTTTGGGAGAGCCTAATATCTGTGATTATTTAGTTAAAATACAGATGAAATATTAAACATTCAGAACCTGTATTGGAATTCCGTTAAATGCTATATAAGTGGGCCACTAGTTTACATTTAGAGATATTCTGGTTACTTAGAAATTTCCCCTCTAATGGAACTAACTTTAGTAAAATTTAACTCAGAAGTCTAAGGAAAATGGAGCTGAGGTATACCAAACACCTTGGGGGAACAGTTACATTTTAGGAAAATAAGTTATACCCTACATGGAAAACAGACTCCACAATTCCATACTAGCTAGAAATGTTAAATAATTGCAGAACTTTCTTTACCTTGCTTATGTATGATTCTTTTATGTTCTGCTGAATCTCAGACTAGAACGTTTTTTTAAAAAAAAACATAATCCTATTTATTTATTTATTTGGCTGCGTTGGGTCTTCGTTGTGGCACGCGGGATCTTTGTTGTGGCACACAAATACCCTAACAGACATCATCTCACTGAGGAAAAGCAATGATTTTGCTCCAATGTTAATGTCAATAAGTTGAAAATGTACTTTTTATAATTAACCTGATACTACCAAGAATATAATATAAACATTTCTTCTTCTTACAGAGTTTTCACTTTCTCTGGTAACTAAATTTATATGTTCTTTGAGTCATGTGTAATTTTTCTTAAAGTAAGCAAGAAGTCTATGAAAAGAACCACTTTAAACATACATTTTCAATCCCTGGAACTGGATACAGACATTTTTTTTTTTCTCTTTGGTTATCTGACTGATCACTTGTTTTAATACAGTTCTTTTAAAAAACAGTCTGTGATTCTGGTTATGAATCCTTGTGTTAGTAACACCTCCTAGGAGTATTCTTTTCATGACATTCAGGACACTGAAGCTGAAAATACTTTTTAAAAAAAATACCTTTTTCAGGTTATTGGGAGGAGGAAGCTCACGTTTAATATTTTGGAAAAAAATCTAACAGCTGATTAATGCAACTGTTATTTATAGATGGGCTTTAGCCACTCTGTGAATTCCATGAAGTCACTACAAATTTGGGGGAAAGACTCCAATGTTTTATCATTCTTAAAATGGGTCACTGGCAGAAAATCATTAGGAATCCTTGAGCTCCAACTCCTTCAGAAAGTATTTGTTCAGTTATTAATTCAGTATATTTACTGAGTGCTTCCATTATGCTGGTAACTATGCTGACACTCTGCTTCTAATCTAATGAAAAATTTAATGTGTTGGGCTCTGCAAAGGAATACTTAATACTTGAGTTCATTCTTTGGTTAAGAGCTCCGTTGAAGATAAATAAAATACTAGCTTGAAGACATAAAAATATGGCTGGTCTACTAACTTGCTGATCCCTAAAACATGTCAACATCTATATTCACATCTTCAATCCCATTGATGAAATATATTGAGCAATTCACATATTTACTAATGTGCTAAGCCTGGCCAAGTTTATTTTGTTTCAGTTAAAATTAAGTAAATATTTATTGGAAGTGATAATCCTCACTTCAAAAATCTGTACTTTACTCTATGGAAAACAGTACGGTGGTTCCTAAGAAAACTGAAAATAGAATTACCATATGATCCAGCAACTCCACTTCTGTTATATATCCAAAAAAGCTGAAAACAGCATCTTGAAGAGATATCTGCACAGCCATATTCACAGCAGCATTATTCACAATAGCCAAAAAGGTGGAAGCAAGTATCCAGCAGTGGATAAATGGATAAACAAAATGTGGTACACACATACAATGGAATATTACTCAGCTTTAAAAAGGAAGGAAATTCTGACACTTGCTACAACATGGAGGAACCTTGAGGACATGCTAAGGGAAATCAGCCAGTCACAAAAAGACAAGTACTTTATGATTCCATTTACATGAGGTATCTAGAGTAGTCAAACTCACAGAAACAAAATAGAACGGTGGTTGCCAGGGCCCGGGAGGAGGGGAGAATTGGGAATTATTGTTTAATGGGTACAGTTTCAGTTTTGCAAGACAAAAAACTTCTAGAGATTGGTTGCACAATAGTGTGAATATATATACATCACACTATCAACTATACATTTTAAAATGGTTAAGATGGTAAATTTTATGTTATGTGTATTTTGCCACACTTTTTAAAAAAGTTGTACTTTAAAAATGCCCAGCTAACAAAGGTCTCCCAATGATTCTTGGTTCATAGTATTCTGCATTCATTAATGACACGAATACATTTTAGTTTACTCAATATCCTTGTCTTTTAACATTAACCTCAGAAGTAAACAAGTATCAGATTTCAGTAATGCTATAAAAATCTAGATGTGGTAAGAACATTTTTATTTTCTGTGAGAAAAGAACTGACTGAAGAAAAAAAACTTTGCATATGGTGCAATGTTTGGTTAATACCAAAGTGTGGTTAATACCATGGAGAAGTGAAGTGGAATTTCTATTAATTAATCCCTGATAATATGACTTGCACTTCTTCCCCTACTTACCCTGCCCTCTTACCTTCCCTTTAATTGTCTAAGTCCTACATAGCCACAGAGACCAAATTCCAAGTGCCAACTCTTCCCTGACGCCTTCACTGGCTAAACCGACTCTTGTTACTTCTACCTTCACTGTACTCATTGTGGAATCGATTCATTTGGCATTTTACCTATGTCATATTGTATTTCTGACTTTTCCTTTATCCCCAACTAAATTTTAAACTCCTTGAGGGCAGGGACACTGTCTTTTGTCTAACTAGACTCATGTACGCTGTAGACACTCGATAGACGTTCATTCATTATGGTGTAAGAGTCCTGCCAGGGCATCTTCTAATTCCAAGGGCCAGACTACAAGTGCATGGACCTAATATATATTTCAACACGAGATTTACAGACGGACTCGAGTATACTAATATACAGTGCAACAAGCTACCACATGAGCGGTACGGACTCATTATCCTTGTAGGTCTTTGATTTGCCTTAGATAATTCAGGGCTTGTGCTGGGGATGTGGTATGAGTAGCACTTAATCTTTTGAGGTTCCTTCAAGTTTTAAGACTGACACAGGAGAAAACGGGAGGGGAGAAAAAGTTTAAAAACAAATGTTTTCAGATTCCTGCTCAGTGTGTAAACGTCTAAGACAATGCCAGTTCCTCTACTCGTTTAGCAACACCGAGTGCTAACTCTGCGAGGGCCATTGAGCTGGGCACTGTGGATATAAAGGTTCCGTACTTGCTCTCACAGCGCCCCGAATCTCAAAAGACATGACCACTAAAAAGCAATTGCTATAACCGAGAAAAGAACAAAGCGCCACGGGAGTAACTAAAAAAAGGGACTTGCTGCTTCGAGGGATCGGGGGCTGAAAGGCCTAGCAAGTGAGACGCTCTCACAGACTCAAGAGGAGTCAACCTGACGCGGGGAGGCGGAGGCTTCCGGCCGGAGAAAGCGGAACCGGCGGAACCAGGGCCCAGGCTGGGAAGGAGCCGCGACTACTTGCAGGAGGGTGAAGCGTCTGTGCTGCTGAGGTGGGGGGGAGAAGAGTACCAATGTATGAAGCTTTAAAGAAACGGCAGTTTGGGGAAAGGCACCGACTCGGGAGCTGTGTTTTTCTCCAGGGTTCCCTCCAGCCCTCCCCGGCTAAGGCTCGGCCCCAACAGTCCCGCGCCTCACCCAAGTGCCCCGAGTCCTGCTTCCGCCTCCGCTGCAGCCTCTCCCGCAGAGAATCCAGCTGCTTTTTGTGGGCCTGGATAGAGCTCCACGTGTCCGACATTTCGGTCTCGCAGCCCAGACACGTCCCGAACCAAGAGCGACTGCCTTCCACCTCTCAGCCCTAGTTCCAAGAATTATCCAACTCTCATGCGGACACCCGAAGCATAACCGGAAAGAGATCCCGGGAGACGCACCGGACGGAAAGTCATTTCCGGTTTTGCTCTCCCTTTGAAGCTGAAACGAGAGCCACCTTAAGTGTTGGCGGAATGGCGGGTATGTTTTTTATGGGAGTTCTTTCACGCTTCCGGGTGAGGTGAGGCTGTGGTTGCCATGTTGGTGCCTGGCAGAGCTGCCATGTTGCTTACAGCCGCGCATGCGGCCATGTTGAATATTAGGAAATGAGTTCGAGTCGTACTAAGACAGCGCGCGTGGGGCAGCGTATGTAGTCTAGATTTTGGAAATGAAGGATCACTAATTCCTTTTGACAGTTTGGTACTAACATACCTTTGCCGCTGAAGGTGTAGCTTCATGTTTCCGTGCACTTGTTTACAAAAATATAGCCATTACGCATGCATATTTGAGGGAGGAGAACTGATGGAGCAGAGATACTATAATGAGTCTACAAATACATATTCTCACTCTTCTTGCTTATACCAAATCTACAAGTATCATGTGTAATACATTAAAATAGAGTCCTCAGGGAATTCCTTGGTGGTCCAGTGGTTAGGACTCTGCGCTTTCATTGCCAACGGAACAGGTTCAATCTGCGGTCGGGGAAATAAGATCCCAAGCTGCTCGGAATGCATGCATGCATGCATAAATACATACATACATACATACATACATACTCAGAAGGAGGCACTAGAGGGCTCCTGAGGTTCTGGTTGAGCTGTGTTTCTTATTCTGAGAGCTGGTTGTATGAATACGTTGTTTGTGAAAATTAACTGAGCCAAACATTTTGGTATGTGCACTTCTCTGTGTAGTAAACTTAAAATTTTCGTTTTTTTAATGAGGTTCTCTGAATGGAAGCATTTGAGAACCACTGATTTATCAAGCCTACGGAACGCCAAACACTGCCAGAAAGAACAGCTTAAGAAGGCATGGCCCCTGCTTTCAGAGCTTCTGGTATGGTAAAGGAGCTAAGACCCAGTTTATTGATATTGAACCATCTTTACAGACTAAGGCAGCACCGAGCATAGACTTAAAAAACAAACGTGATTGCAAAGAAGGGAGGACTCCAAGCCCAGATGACCCTTTGGCAAGGAGGTGACATCAAAGTTCAGGCTTGGAGTGACAGCTAGTACTTCAGTAGGTGAAGCTATAGGAAAGAATTCCAGGCTAAGAACATGATAAAAGCAAAGGTCTAGACTAGATGTAGAAAAGCATGATGCGTGCCGTGCTGACCCAGATTAATTTTGCTAGAACACAGAGAATTATTTTTGGGAATTTGGGAGAATATTTGTTTCCATATTTGAGGCCAAATTGCAAAAGGTACATGTTACCTGAGTAACGAGCTTGCAATTTATTCAGCATACAACAGGGTACATTTTAAGGTTTGTGAATAGGGAACATTTTAGGGAATCTGGTGTTATGGTTGAATTGAGATGGGGAGAAAAGTTTAGAGATAGGGAAAATAATTAGTAGCCTATTGTTAACTGTTTGATGATAGGACCTTTAAGTCAGAAGCTATCTATGTATAGTAATGGAAAGGAAAGGGTGAATATGAAGGGAGACTACTGAGAAGAAAGATGTGTGTGTTTTGGAATGTGGCAGTGTCATTAATTTATTCAGAAAATATTTATTGAGTGACTACTATGTGCTAGGAGGTACTGTGGAGATTTAGTAGTGATCAAAATATCCATTTCCATATCATTTTCTGAATTTAAATTTACCTAGTAGATAATTTACATTGTCTTTATTTATTTATTTTAATTTTATTTTTGGCTGCATTGGGTCTTTTGTTGCTGTGCGCAGTCTTTCTCTAGTTGAGGCGAGCGGGGGCTACTCTTTGTTGCAGTGCGCAGGCTTCTCATTAGGGTGGCTTACCTTGTTGCAGAGCACAGGTGCATGGGCTTCAGTGGTTATGGCACACGGGCTCAGTAGTTGTGGTACACGGGCTCAGTAGTTGTGGCTCGCAGGCTTAACTGCTCTGCAGCATGTGGGATCTTCCCGGACCAGGGCTCGAACCCGTGTCCTCTGCATTGGCAGGCAGATTCTTAACCACTGAGCCACCAGGGAGGCCGCCCTACATTGTCTTTTGAGATGCGTACCTTTATATATGAGCATTGAGATAGAGGACACAGAAATGAATATGGGCTCATATGAGCATATCTGGACATTTAATTCTCAGGATTATACTTAATTAGAAGGAAAAAATTCCATCTTGCTCAGCTGAAATACTCTTGGCAAAGTTGGCTGATGTGAGATCATAAAAGACTACTTCCAAGAGCCTGCTCTACCTAAGGTTTTTTTTTTTGGCAGCAACCTGCGGCACACGGAACTTACCTGACCAGGGACTGAACCCACATCCCTCGCAGCGGAAGGCAGAGTCTTAACCACCAGACTGCCAAGGAAGACCCTACTTAACAGGTTTTGCTTCCTTTAATAACCTGGGTCTAACAACTACCCTCAAGAGAGTTGACAAGGGATGCTTTGCACTTTCATTTGGGATATATTCTGTGTGGCCCTATGTTTAGACACATGTATTATTACTAAAGTAAGATAATCCCATTATTGCTCTATCAGAGAACTGTTAGAGTTAACTGTTCACAAATCTGAATCCCTCACTTGCTGTAAGATCACTATTTCTTTCAAGGTCCTTAACACATAGAAATGAAATACATAGAAATTATATAGCAGTAAAATTAAATAGTCTTGGGAGAGAAAGACAGTACTGGATATAGCTTTGTAGAAGATGAAGGGGGTTGATTCATCTTAAAGACAGATTTCCACAGGCCAACCCTTAAATTCATAAGCATTTTCGTCTAGGAAAGGAAGAATTTTTCTAGTGGAAGAGATTCAGTCTCTGGTAGAATTCGGGGTACCTAAGACCTGGATTGCCTCCTCTCACCTACAGAGGAAGCCAAAGAAGCTTAAAGTCAGCCAAGTTAAGGCCAGCTCCCAGAAGTCTTTGCTTTCATATTCACTTTGGATAAATTATTACAGTAGTAAATTAGGCAAATTTTAGGAGCACAGGAGGCCACTTAGCATGATCTGCTTATAGAGGGATTTTTTTCTAGACTCCTCAGGACCAGTTTTCAGCTCATAAGAAAGCCACTGCTTTCTTGTGTGCCTACTCTTAGCCAGTCTGTATACAACCCTGAGCAGTACAGGAAGGAGGAAGGAATCTCACCCAGACCTCTTCTAGTCAAAAGAGTGTAAGCCTAGTTGTGAGTAGATGAGTGCTGCATGCACTACATTTCTGAACTTTTCCTCCTATCTGCTGTGGTAGACTTTCCAGAGTTAGCCACAACAATAATGGCTCCCATCCCACATGCCCTTATGCAGTGTGTCTTTGCCACTCTTCCCGATAAGACGTAAAGCTTGTTTCCCCTCCTCTTGAATCTGAACTGGTTTTCTGACTAGCTTTGGCCAAGAGAAAGTGGCAGAAGTGATATTCTTTGAGTTTCAGAGTCTAGGCCTTAAGAGGCCTTGAAGCTTCTGCTTTTGTCGTCTTGGAGGCCTAGGCCTTCATGGAAGTCCAGTTATCCTAATAGCTAGGCCATTTGAAGAGAGAGTGAGGGAGAGGGAAAGGGAGAAGGAGAGGGAGAAAAAAGGAGTGAGAAAGAGACAGAGAGAGAGAGAGAAATCCTAGAGATTGAAAGATATCAAAGAGTTCCTGGAGAATGAAAAACTCTAAGGAAAGAGACTGCAGTATTCCAGCCATTCAACTGAGGGGCCAGAGGTGAGTGAGGCCATCTTGGATCCTCCAGCCCGAATTGAAGCTGCTGAGTGAGCTCAGCCCTCACCACATGGAATATAGACAAGTCATCCTAGCTGAGGTCTGTTGGGACAACCCATGGACTCACAAGCAAATACATAATTATTGTTTAAGACACTAAGTTTTGGATGGTTTGTTACACAGCAATGGGTTACTGAAACATCCACAGTATTGACCAAATACTGCACTTCGTAACTGGTTCTTTGGTCAAAATTTTTTTTTCTTCACTTTTGTCCTTACTCATTTTTTTAAATTATATGATCAAAAGCAAAGTGTCCAATGGGATTAGTAAATCTGTTGTTAAATTAAACACTAGAAAAGACAAAGAAATGTAAAGGGAAGTCAAAGTTGGGTCTAATGGAGAGACGCTCATGTGAGTTAAGTTTGTTTTGGGGATCAGGAGACGGATGTTCCTTGATTTACCGAGAAGCTCCAGGGACGGTATCCAGAGTCCCAGGAGCAGAAATCTGTGAGAGATGAAAATGTGCCAATAGAATTGAAACCTTTTTTTGGGGTGACACAGGTTGAAATCTGGGAGAAGCAGATGCTGAGAGAGTCAGGAGTCCAAAAGTTTTATTGGGAAGTAACACTTGTAAAAAGAAAAAGGGAAGAAAATGGGATTGGGCAGGGAGAGCTGTCCAAAGCTGTCAGTGATGCAGACATGACAGCCTCTGCCAGACCACTGGAGAGTTCCATAGCAAGAATCGTTCATTAGTCCCATGTTCCCTGGGAATGGCTAAGCCCTGTACCACCCACCACCTTGCTTAGCCTTTGGCCAGGGGTTTGGAGAACAGTAGGACAGCTAGAGGCTGTCAGCTAACCAGGTTTCTTGCAGCTGAGTAGCCAGTTCTTTCTTAAAGGGACATCTCTGAAGTAGCACACCTCCGTATCTGCCAAAGGGGACTTGACGTACCTTATGTAGGTTTTTATATGGTAACTGCATTGGTCCTTAGGTTGTCATATGGATTCAGTTAATATATTTCAGCATGGTTATTAGGAAAACTGAATGTAAGAGAACTGTACGTCCCCGCCCCCTTCTCTCTCTTCGTAACATGAGTTAGTTATTTCCCTTTCTGGAATCCCACAGGCCACTGTGTCTATCACAGTATTTACTACCATGATATAAAAATATGTTTTCATTTTTCTTCTTCCTTGACTGAGCCCCCTTAGGGGCAGAAGTTTGTTTACCTTTGTATCTACCCAACACTTGGTCTCTGAAACAAAATAAATCCTCAAAAATTAACTGAATGAATGAGTGAGGAAGCTGTCTCTTGCTTCTTGTACTAGTGATCTTTTTATCCATCTAGTTTGAACTGAATCCACTATGTATATTTCAGGTAAAGCGTTTCGCAAGCTGCATTTCTTGACATATTCATTTCAGCAGGTTAGAGTTAATTCACCTTCCAAAAGGATGATCAAATGAGAAGTGCTTGAGAGTAAGAAATGGTGGGGTTGAGGGTGGGGATTGGAGGGGACTGCAAGAAGGAAGAAACTGAAGGCTGTAAGAGAGGAATAAACTAAAGGTGAAGAGAGAAACATAAAAGTTGTAGATCAATGAAAGAATAAAAAGCAGGAGAGGAAAAAGAAGAATGAAAAGGAGACAGAAGGGAAAATAAAGTAGAGCTATGAAGGAGTGGGGTGGGGAGTCCAGCTCAGTGCTGACCTGCCCAAGGAAGCACCCATTAGTAGAAGCCTCACTGACAGCTGTTACCATAATGGGAACTGGCATCTAAAGAGAGGGCAAGTCTAGTTTAATTAGTTAAATGGCATTATCTATGTCCAGTGGGGGTAGGGGAGGTAAAGGGAATAGAAGGATTGGTGACCTACCTCCTTCCATAGGCTGAAAAGAAAAACAGATTTATAAAGCTTTGGTAAGGAATTAAAGAGACAGGAGCTGTTTCTTCTCCAGCCGACTTCACAAGATTGTCATGTCCTATTCACTAGTACCTTTAAAGCGGGACGGGTTTAAAGTTGCCTCCAGGAGGCAACTAGAATCAAACCTCTGTTCTTTACCTTGAATCGAGCCAGTAGGTTTACTCACCTTTCCCTTCAGTCTTCCAGCCAGCCTCACCACTTCAGGAGTCTTTAGTATGTAACAGGAAGCAAGCACCATTCCTGACCACTGGGTGGTTAGCACTGAGACTGGGATTCTGCCGACCTGCGTTCTTAATGCAGTTCTGCCACTGATTGGCTGAATGTCTTTAGGCAAATCATTTTACCAGTCCCATCCCTTTAGCATGTGGTTTCAGTGATATAATCTTACAAACGAAAAAAAAAAAAAATTCCGGAGAATGTTCTCTTTAGGAAAGCAAGGTCTTAAGAGTCAAATCTGAACCTTACCATGTTGTGGAGAGACAAAACGAAACAAAAAATATATATATATATGCTTCATTTCATTCTCCCACCTCCAATGCACTTCCTCTGCTAAGAATTCTCCTTTATATTATCTTGTTGGTAGAAATTACTAGGGTTGAATTTTTTTTTCCTGTTTATAACATCAGACCTCAAGTATCATAAAGATGAATTCATCTTGGTTCTGCAGATTAACTGATGTGAGCTAGGCTGGCCTACAGGTCAGGATAGATAGATAAAGAAACAGCTTTCAACCTCCAAACAAAACAAAACAAGTAAAATAAAATACAAAAGCCTGGTGGTGGAAGGTTCTAGGCAAAGAGAAAACCTGGACAGTGGCTATAAACAGTGAGCAAATCCCCTACCTTTTGAGAACACAAACACCATTTCTAAAAGGAAATTACATTCACTGGAGGTTGTTTTAGGACAAGGCTGAGCAAATTAAATATTTCAACACCATATGTTCAGCTTTGGCAGGAGATGTAGGTGGGAAGGGAATCTCAATGTTAGGGAATGCTCATATCACACCCCAGCTGGCTGTTGAAATGAAATAAGGAGAAACACACAAATATTTGGTTAAAACACCTTTAATGAAAAGGGAAAGACACTAACATCTCCGTTGTCTGCTCTTCACATTTTACTATGTTAGGAAACTGGAGCCTACACCTTTGGAGGAGGAGCCATCACTCAAGTCAGTCAATAGCAGAACCCTCACTCCCTCCTCCTCAGAACTCTGGTTCCAAATGATCCTATGTTAAAAGTAAATACTACATCTCATTACAAAACGGAGAGGCAGGGAGGACAGCACCTAGGGCTCAACTCCCAAAGTCTGGGACTCTAAGAACCAGACAGTGGCAAAGACATAAGCCCTGGTCCGTGGACAAGCAAAATGGGAAGGAAGTGGACCTTGAAAGAGGAAGATGAGGAAAATACAAGGGGCCAGGGAATAGCAGAGGGAGTTATCTAAAACTAGAAGCACACTAGTGCTAGGAAATCCCCCATGATCCATGGTGCATTGCTGCACACTAAAGTCACCATTAGTTCAAAAGAACATTCATGAGACCCATCGACCCATCCAATTAAGAGTTTGAGGTCCCCTCCCTTATATCACACCCCTTTCTTAATCACATAGGTTCTCAGCAAGCCCTGTGCTTTAGCAACACTCCTAAACACTCCATTATTCCTTCAGCTAACCCTCATCAACAATGCTCGTTAAAGATATGAACTTCACCTTTCCTTCCCCAAAATATCCATCCCATGGGAGACCTCTCAGCAAGAAATCCACTTGTTTCCTAAC